TGAATGCCTCTGATCTGAACAACATAGCATTGAACTCAATTGTAGGATCACTACATGAATCAGTTTTTACGCTTGTTACAGGAATAAAAGAGGCTAAACGGGTATGGGAAATTCTTGAAACCAGATTTGAAGGAACCAGTGATGTCAAACAGTCAAAGCTACAAATGGTTCTGTCAGAATTCGAAGCACTCATAATGATTGAAGACGAAACCATTTCGACCTTCCACAGTAGGGTTCAGAACTTGATGAATCGAGCCTCAATTCTTGGGGAACCATTCACTGTTGAGAGAGTGGTCAAAAAGATTCTTAGATCTTTACCTAAACGCTTTCGAATGAAAGTAACTGCTATTCAGGAACACACAGGTTGGAAAAAGAATACTGTCGGAGAACTCATGGGAAGCTTACACACATACGAACTGGAAGTTCTTACTGATGATGATATTGGAAGCAACAGGAAAGGAAAGTCGGTAGCCTTTGTGGCTGAGGCTGATCGAGAATCTAACACAGACGACATAGATGATGAAACCTTAGCTCTTCTAACCAAAAACTTCAAGAAAATTTTAAAAGGTTTCAACAGAAAGGGTCAAGGTCAGCCTACCAGGACACAATACAAAGGCAGCAACTCCTCATATCAAAAGGTAGAAACAACACCTTTCTCACAAAACAATCAATCTCAGACTGGGCGATCAAGACAAAACAGAAACAGTTCCACAGACACAAGAAAACCCCTCAATCGGTCAGTGCAATGTAGGGAATTGATCCAGAATTGATCCAGAAAAAATCTGTGGCGCATGTGCAATTGGGAAACAAATCAGAACTCCACACAAAGCAATAAAAGGTATCACCACTGAGAAATGTCTAGACCTTGTCCATATAGACCTCATGGGGCCAACACAGACTGAAAGTATTGGGGGAAAGAAATACATATTTGTGTGTGTGGACGATTTCTCTCGATACAGCTGGGTATACTTTCTGAGAGAAAAAACAGAAGCCTTCAAGGCCTTTAAGACTCTGTGCATAAGAGTTCAGAACGAAAAGGATGAGTCCATTATAAAAGTTCAGAGATTGAGGAGTGATCATGGAAAGGAATTTGAGAACTCACTATATTCAGACTTCTGCTCCGAGCATGGCATATCACATGAGTTCTCAGCTCCTAGAACTGCTCAACAGAATGGAGTAGTGGAAAGAAAGAATCGAACTTTACAGGAAATGGCTAGAGTCATGCTACATGCCTCACATCTGCCACAACGCTTCTGGGCTGAAGCAGTTCACACAGCATGTCATACTATAAATAGGGTCTATCTTAGACCAGGAACAACGAAAACTCCTTATGAGATCTGGAAGGGAAAGAAGCCAAATCTAAAATATTTTCATGTGTTTGGAACAAAGTGTTATGTGCTAGCTGATAGAGAACAAAGAGGGAAGTTCGAACCCAAGAGTGATGAGAGAATCTTCCTTGGCTACTCTCCGAACAGTTATGCCTACAGAGTCTACAACAAGAGGACTCAGTCTGTGATGGAGTCAGTGAACGTGGTTATCGATGACAACCCAGAAGAATCAATAGACTCAACGGTGATAGAGTCTTCTCTAAGTGATCCAGATGCGAGTAATAACAACAGTCAACTCAAACCACAAGATTCGTCAGATGAAGATCAAGAAAGTTCGGAACAGGAGATAGATCTCATGAATGATGTTGGTAAAGATAAGCCCACCAGAACTCAGAAAAACCATCCATCAGATGGGATGAAGACCAGAAGCAGAATAAGAAATAATCTGACAGAAATATCTGGGTCTGCTTGCTATAACTCAAAGATAGAACCCAGAAATGTCAAAGAAGCCTTACAGGATGATCTGTGGATCAAGGCAATGCAGGAGGAACTACATCAGTTTGAGCGGAATCATGTCTGGAATCTTGTACCAAGACCTGATGGTGTCAACGTAATTGGAACGAAGTAGATCTTTAAAAATAAAACTGATGAAGCCGGGAATATAGCCAGAAACAAAGCTCGGTTAGTTGCTCAAGGTTATACTCAGATTGAAGGGATTGACCATGACGAGACGTTTGCTCCTGTAGCTAGACTCGAGTCAATCAGAATCTTGCTGGCTGTCGCATGAATTTTGGGATTTACATTATATCATATGGATGCCAAGACAGCATTTCTGAATGGGTATCTCCATGAAGATATCTATGTGGCTCAACCTAAGGGTTTTGAAGATCCAGAACACCCTACTTATGTCTATAAGCTTCGAAAAGCTCTCTACGGTCTTAAACAAGCCCCACGGGCATGGTATGAAGGACTGACACAGTATTTGCTCCAGCATGGGTATAAACGCAGAAGTGTTGACAAAACTCTGTTTGTAAAAACTACTGGAAGTCATGTAACTATAGCTCAAATCTATGTTGATGACATTGTGTTTGGATCGACCCTGCAGAAATACACTGATGAGTTGGTAAAAGTAATGGAGGAAGAGTTTGAAATGTCCATGGTTGGTCAACTGACATACTTCCTAGGTCTACAGGTCAAGCAAAGTTCTGAAGGATACTTTATTTCGCAAGTATGCTAAGAATCTTGTCAAAAAGTTTGATCTGGAAACATGTAAATCTTCCAGAACACCTATCTCCACCTCTACAAAAGTATCGAAAGATGAAACTGGTGTATCAGTGGATAACATAGTCTATCGTAGCTTGATAGGCAGTCTACTGTATCTAACTGCCAGTGGACCAGACATAATGTTCAGTGTAGGAATCTGTGCAAGGTATCAATCTGATCCAAAGGAATCTCATCTGATAGCTGCAAAACGCATTCTGAAGTACATTAAAGGAACGATACAGTATGGACTCTGGTATTCCAAGGACAGTGAACTGAATCTGGTTGCATACTGTGATGCTGATTGGGCAGGAAATATTGATGATCGGAAAAGTACTTCTGGAGGATGTTTCTTTGTTGGTAAAAACTTAGTATCATGGCTAAGCAAGAAACAGAATTCAATCTCTCTAAGCACTGCAGAGGCAGAATACATAGCTGCAGGTGGTTGCTGTACTCAGTTGGTATGGATGAAACAGATGTTTCTGGATTATGGTCTTACTCAAGGAACAATGACACACTTCTGTGACAATGTCAGTGGTATTAACATCTCCAAGAATCCTGTTCAACATTCCAGAATGAAGCATATTGACATCAGGCATCATTACATCAGAGACCTAGTTGAATCCAAGGAAATTGAATTGGAATACATTCAAACTGACAAACAACTGGCGGACATTCTGACTAAGCCATTGGATGCTAATCGTTTTGAAATTCTTACATCTGCTCGGGGAATTTGCAGAATTGACTGATTAAAGCAGTTGGTCCGTCAGAGAGGAGATGGTGTATACGGGTCAGTGTTATGATTTGACTTTCCTTAAAGACTCCTCTCTATTTATGTTAAGAAGATTATTTAACATTATGCTTCTCAGAGATATCTTAAAAGATCTTAATTTCTTTTCGAATTTCAAATTTCCTTGGGTTCCGTTTCCTTCCTAAAAAGGAGTTGTACCGTTGTGTTAATCAATCGCGTCTGCATGATATTTGACAAGCCGCATTAATTAGGGTTCATCATCCTTAAGCCTATTTGATACCGGGCCAAGAAGAAAAACACATCTTCGATCATCACAGCTCTCAACTTTCTATCTCTCTTGCATATCTTCCTTCAGTGATCTGCTCTTCTCTTCGCACATAACCTTCAATGGCAGACCCTGTAAGAAACATCATTATCAAACTTGGAAGCAAGACACACTCTCCGGAGGTGGCCCTTAAGCATATTCAGACGCTGCTGCAGTTTGCTATGAAGAAGAAGCTCAAACTTGATCCTCTGCTTCGCGACAAGATTTTAGTAACTGTGATGACCTATTACCCAGAGTATTATGCAGAATGGTCTGAAGATGATGAGACTGAACTGCTTATGATGGTTTCTAAAGCCAGTGATGAAGTTTCTACAGTATATATTCCAGAACCCTTGGATGGAAATCGGGTCGCGGCATTCCTTCAATACTTTGCACATCGAGCCCTAGAATTGGTTGAGGCCTCTCGACGGCAAGCGGAGGCGCAACCTCTGTATCTCGCAGCTGCTCAAAAAGAGGCAACACACAGACAGGAGATCCTCCGAAACAGGTCAAACTTTCTGAAACTCCTATTGAAATTTCACCAGATAAACCTGATGTTTCTGCTACCCCATCTTGTGTGCCTGTTATTTCTAAAAATTTAACTGCTTTGAATTCCGAGAAGCCTCTTATGAATGTTGATTCTTTATCTCTGCCTTTGAGTGAATATGTTGGTATGAAAATTGATGTCTTGCATGTGTCTGATGAGAAAGCAAAGTCCTCTGATGAGCTAAATCCACTGAGTTTAGTCGTTTACTCTTCTGATAATATTGCTCTGCATCCTAATGAGAATGTTGATGACACTAAAGAAACTTGCTCTGTTGTTGATACTCCTGTTTTACCTGCTACTGTTGAAACTGTTGATTTATCAAGCCCCCACAAGTCTGAGAAAACAGGTGGAATTCCTGTTTACACTGCAACATCTTTAGGAGAGAGTCTGGAACATGTGCGACAATTTGCTGGGCTACCATCTGATTCCATCCCTCAACCATATCGAGTGATTCATCCTTCCGAATCCTCCAGTGAAGATGATAAAATACTGGCTGAAGTGTATGGATCTCAAGCACTTCAATCTGATGTTCCAACTGTTGAGGCAACTGCTCATCCTGACTCCACGAATTTCAAAATTCGAGAGATTTCGAATATTATTGGAAGCTCGTCTGCAAATGTTTCTGATTATAGCCACTCTGTGACTCCGGTTCAGTCCCCAACCAAGGAAACAAGACGGTCAAAAAGGAAGAATGTCCCAGTAAAGGTTGTTGTTGAGACCGGTGATGATAATGCTGATGTGGATCAGCCTGAGAAGAAGAGAAAGTAGAGTGAGAATGTTAAGCCTGAAGGAAACCCGCCTGTTCAACAAATGTTCAAGACTCTGCGATCGTCTGTTAAGCAAAAAGGATCTACTGTTGTTCAAGCTACCTCTGTACCAGCCCCTTCTGTCAGAAAAGGGAAGCCATCCACACGATCAAGAGGTCGAAGTATCACCCCTGAGGTCCCACCTGTTGAAGAAACTGACCCATCTGTTTACCGGCCTCAGTTTGTATCTCCTGCTGCACAGACCAAATGGACCACTATGGTTAGAAGGGATCTTATTGTTCAAAGATCGGTGGACGAGAACCAGCTGAACTCCATTTGTGACATTCTGCCCTTGCTGAATGAAGTTGGATTGTTGAAAACTGTCACGGACATCTGCCCTTACTCTAAGCTGCTCACATATGAATTCTATTGCAATCTCAATGATGAGATTGACGTTCTCACAGGGCCACGACCGATGCAGATCTTTATCAGAGGAAGGTGGTATGTTTTTGGGCCAGATATGATTAATGAATACTATGGCTTGCCAGCAGTTCAAGAAGAAGCTGTTACTGACTGGGACTTAGTTGCCAGAACTCTGACCGGTGGGCAGACAGAATCATGGCCTACGGGTGACAAGGACTATCTGCAAAGCTCCCATCTCACGTCTAGATATGTGATTTTACACCGCCTAGCTCTTCACAACTGGCTCCCATCAGCCCATTTTCACACAGTTGGCAAGCTTCTGGCTGGGTTCTTATTTCGAATTGGAACAAAGATGCAACTTGATCTGGGAAAATGGATTTACTATCACATCCTCACCCTGATTCATCCACGCGAACAGAAGGTAAGACTCCCCTTCCCAAATCTGATTTTTGGCATCCTTACCACTCAGGGCCTTGAGCCTATGCTCAGTGAAGTGATCAGCCCAACGTTGCTTTATACTGTTGATAAACGTCTTCTGTCTGGAGATCACTTTCGGGATGTTGTTCCTGTGACTGCCCCATCCAATCCTGAACCAGATGTTGTGCCTGATGACTCTCCTCATGCTAAGGATGTTCAGCTTTCCATACAGCTGAAGGCAAGAGTTGCTGATCTTGAGACGGTGCACAGCATTATTGCAAAGCAACTGACAGGTGCCCGTACTATGCTAGCTATTGTTCTTCTTCGTTTGAGACTGATTGAAGCTGCTGCTGCTACTGATCCTGTGAAGTCTGGCAGTGACTCTCCCTCCAATGCTTGATCTTTGGCTACCATTGGCAAAAAGGGGGAGTAGTATGAACTCAGGGGGAGTTTAATTTTTTTGTTTTTGTTTGAGTCCCTTCTGGCCCTAGCTGGGCGTTTATGTTTTTTTTTTTTTTTTTTTGATCCTAAACTGTTTTGGATCCTATGTTTCTGTTTTCATTCTATGTAATCAGTTCGGACATATGGGTTGCTTCTTTATAATAACCTATCTTAGCTCTTTGAGTTTCTAGTCGAGTTGTTTTGCCAAATAATAGCCAAAGGGGGAGTTTGTTAGTGTTTTTAAATGTTCAAAAACCCCATATTATAATTGGCAATATTATTATGGCATACTAAGATAGGTTTAGAGTCTGTCCGTTTATCTCTACAGAGATCTGATCAATCAGAAGCAACAACAGAAGGACTGACACTGAAGATCTGATTTAGGAAGCTGGTTTCTTAAAAGTCTTACGCGGTATTATCAGACTCATATGGAAAGATGATCAACGTATATTCTTAAAAAAGGTATGGACCTAATCTTCTGAGATTACATTCCTCTTTTATAGTCCTACCTTCTACAATCAAAGACATCTATGGAGAGTGGTTATTGAAGGATCTATAAGTACCCTTATTCGAAGAGAATTAGGGTTACGCCGAAAGTAAGAAGAAACACTCCATATCTGCTATATGAGATTAGATCTTTGATTTTCATTCATCTTCTCAATACAATATGTTCACGGTGATTAAGATGATGAACTTGAGAAGAGTTACTACTGCTTAAACGAAAGGACACTGTGATCACACTGTTGTGGGAACAACTTTATAGAGCGTCATTGAAGTGGACTACATCAGAGTGGGCTCTCCAAGTGAAGGGATTTCATTGGACTTCTGTATGCATGGCTCTCCATCTTCAACAATCCACTAGACCTGTGTAGACTGGGTTTGAACCTTGTGTGGGGCACTTGGGTAAGATTATTGTATATCTACCTTTGTACATTGGTTTATGATTTAGTGGATTGGACACCTATGTGATCGTCCCCCAGACGTAGATACACACCGTATCGAACTGGGTAAACATTTTGTGTCTTTGGCTTTTGTGCGGTTATCTTTCTCTTATTCTCTCTTCGTGATTTATCATTACTAATTGGCCTCTTATCTGAATCAATCAGTAATCTACATCAGTCATCTAATTCTGTCAATTTACTTAAAATGAGGAATTGCAAAATTACATTTGTGTTTTGTTCTTGACGGTTTTCTATGCGTTTTCTAAATGTTATACATGCGTTGTTTTGAGTGCTTTTAATTGATAAACATATATATTTTTTGCTTAAGTTATTTTATTGGTGTTTCTATGTTGCATCTTTGAATTCTCTATGGTTACTTGATGAACTTTGATGCAATTTGTTTAATATTTGTACTCTCCTTTGTTACTATGTGAATGTTTTTTTTTGTTGGTCCGGTCATGACCGTATCTGTGTTTGCTTGTGTACTTATTGTGCTAAACTGTTATGAATTCTTGCCTGAAGTTGATTTATATGAATATGTGCGTGATTTTGATCTATTTGAATCTCTGGCTGAATATGCTTTACATGACCGTGTTTGTTTTGTTTGTGTGTTTTCCCGTGCTATCTGGTATGAATCTGTGCCTGATGTTACTTTAGTTGAATCTCTGGCTGAATATGCTTTACCTGAATGTACTTACTGTCTTATTTATCAATCTGTCTTCTTGAGTGGCCCAATTATGTGCTTTTTGTGTTATTTGCTACGAATTTGTGCTTGAATGTGTGTATTACTTGATATGTTTTATCTACTTAATCTGCTCCAACTTGATTTGTGTGTCTTTATGTGCTTATATGTTATCAAGTTGATTTGTGTGTCTTTATGTGCATATATGTTATCAAGTTCTGCATGTTTTTTGTTACTAATTTTCTTGTGCAGGTTCAATTTTATCGGGCACTCCGTCAGACTCAATCCACTAATATAGATGTTCACCTTTGTCAATTTATTGACAAAAGGGGGAGTATGGTTGGAATAAGGGGGAGTTTTGGTAAAACTATTGGATGTTTGGTTTTGTGGAATTTTGGTAATTGGATGTTTGGTTTTGTGGAATTTTGGTAAAATTGTTGGATTAGGGGGGAAGTAAGAAAGGGGGAGTAGTAGTTGAATGGTTGATGTATTGGCTTGACTATGATTGCTGCATATGGTAATTCTTTTTGGTACTACTACTCTATGGCTACTCTATGGTACTCTTTTTTGGTAATCTCTGATAAATATATCACTCTTCTCGCCAAGTATAAAGCCTTTATTTGGCTAATTCATTTACTGTGTATTGTGGTGGGTCAATTCTTATTTTCTGAAGTGTGAAGCCTCAGGATTCTTCGACAATACAGGTTATGTGATATTTAATATAGCGGATTCATTGATGGAATATGGTCCAAAAGAGTTTTTGGTAATTGCCTATTTAATTCTCACCTTAGGATATTGTTCAGTACATATACTAAGGGCCTTGAATAAAATTATTTATCTTATTTGCCCAACGTATAAGATACTGTAGTTTTTTACCAAATAAATTGCCAAAGGGGGAGATTGTAAGTGTACAATTTTAGTACACATTAAACATTTGTTGGCTAATTTATTTAGTCTCACCTGAATTAGAATTAATTTGTTTTATTTAGTTTAAAACTCCTGTTTTGGACCACTTCCTATCATCTAAGTTTTGCATAGCTATATTTTAATTGGTTGATTGGAAAAAGAGAAGTCAGCAAAGTGAGTATTTGGAGGCATTCAAATAAAACATGTGGCTCTGATTTAATGAAGAGGTTGGGATGCTAATATTAAGGATCAAGGTGATGGGTTAAACAGCTATAAAAGGAAACCTCTCTAGAGAGGAAAGTTGCCATTTTTTGTGAACTGCTATATTGAGTGAAATCTACACAAGTGCTATTTAAATTAATCAGCTAAATTATATTATTATTATTGTAGTTAAATTTTGGTCTGCACAGATAGTACCTGGTACAGCTGAAGCTTCGGTTGAAGATCGTCACGGCATGCACGTACAATCTTGAGTAAATGTTAGGAAGGTGTTGTAGTGGTAAAGGTTGAGCGCCATTTGTACTTACCTCTTGTAATACTCCTTGGTGAACATCTATAGTGGATTGGGCAGACGTGAGTTGCCCCGCAGACGTAGGAGAAGCGCTCCAAACTGCGTGATCAATCTCTGAGTACTTGTTTTATTTTTATGCTTTTATATTTTGTTATTTATGTTCATTAAATAACCTAATTAATTGATAATGCAATATCTCTTCTAAAAACAAGTAGAACATTAAAGGTGTAATTGAATTCAAGATTCACGGTGCAATTTCAGAAATATATAACATTTTCAAATATTTTAAAAATGATAAATACTACACAGTATATATATTAATGACTTTGTAGTATTTTTATATATATTACTATGTAGACACAGTAGATGATATATATATATATATATATATATATATATATATATATAGGGAGAGCTTCAAGTAAGAACCCATAATTAGGTAGGAACATGAGAACTAATATAAGCCTTCGAATCCCATCCAATCAATGGTTCATATTAATTAATCACTAATAAGGAGACTATTAATATAAGAAATTACAAGGGATACAAAGGACATTTTACGCACCTAAAAAATAGCAGAAGAAGATGATTCAGGAATCTACTTCTTCATCCAATCCCGCGAACAACACTGCGAAATTCTGTGAACGACACAACTGCGACGGGGACATCTCCGACAAACGCCTGCGAATTTCTGCCGGAAGTGTGCAACCTGAAACAGCCAAAGCCGGGGACTAAGAGATCTTCGAACGATGGCAACAGAATACAATGACGGTAAGTTCTACATATGAATATGTAATCATGGTTGTGTTCGGATTTTCAATTGATAGAGACTGGTAATGGATTGTGTAAGCATGCACTCAGAGGCCAGTGTAAATCCATTAGCAATGAGTGGATGCCCATGCGACGGCAGTAATGATAATGCCCTCTCCCCCAATTAGTTTCGCCGCTCTAAAAGGCACCCACTTCGATGCTGTAGTGCACACAGAGGCCTGGGCTTATATGGCTGTGTGCACCCACAGTTATGGGGACGTGCACTTACCAACCCCCGTGGACCCGTATGGGCACAACCATCTCAGTGTAAGGGCACACACCTATTCACAAAGGTGAAGCATTGTTGGTACCTTTGCCGTGTCGTAACAACCCTAGCCATGATGGGTGCATAGGCACCTGTGGTGCGAGTACTCTACCAAACAGGGTGTTGAAACCCAGTCGGAATGTGCACGTTGGTTATATTCTTTGTGCCACACTATTGAACCACATATTGAACTAATAATTTTGTGTGCACGTTGGTTATATTCTCTGTGCCACACTGTTGAACCACATATTGAACAAACAATTTTGTAACCCCCGACAGGTGAGGTGGGCTTACTAGGGAGATACACCGGTTGCTCGATGAATATCTCTCCCGGATCAACGAATTACTGGACTCCAGAGTGTGAAGAGGGTAAAAAGCCATTCGTGGGACAGGTGTTCACAACTCTGGAAGGAGGAATTGAATTCTACAAAACTTATGCCACTACTACTGGGTTTGATGTGCGGCGTGCTTCTGAGAAGACGGATAGGCAAGGGAAAATCACGTCGAAGTATGTGTTGTGCTTACGTATTGGGTTCAAACTCCCTACAGGCGAAGGGGACGGGGTAGGCGTGGTAACGATCGAAGACAATGCCCCAACAAAAAGGTGACGTGTCACCAATGTTGCAAAACACGCTAGGCGCCCCCTAGGCGCCTAGGCGCCGATTTTTTATTTTATTTTTTTATTTTTTTTTATTTTTTTTTAATTAAAAATAAAATTTAAAATTTAAAATTTTTAAAATTTAGTAATAAAACATAAGGTTTCTATAGTTATTTCTTAGAAATTATTTACGAAAGTGGTTGTAAAAGTGTTCAAAAGATTGTTTAAACCATCTAAATACATAAA